ATCATTTTCAAAAATATGGAAATAACGAGATTGACCCTATAAGCGATACAGCGAAGAGCGGAACTAAAGATACTTTGCCCCCTCCCCCGTCGACCGCTGTCAATTACATTTCGTCATATCTGAGACAGAGTAACTTGAACGAATCGCTAGAAAGATTCAGGAATCAGTAGGTACTAAGAACGGTACGCTTAGAACACAGAAGCTTGAAATCTCTTGTATAAAAAGTGAGTGGCATTAGAAAGAACGTCTGCGAGGATAACTACTGTTGTGAAGACATCGATATTATCGAAACTGTGTTAAAGCTTATAGATAACTTATGACTCGAATAGGCGAAACAGATGAAAAAATGTCAGCTGTAGTGAAGTAATAGCGAAGAACCAGTGCGTGGAATGAGAATGAATGAAAACAACCGGATAAGGAAGAAAACTGAGGATGAAGCAAAAACTTATAAAACAATAGAAAAAAGTAAGAAGAGATTTACATGATCGTTTGCAAACTACTGCTGCTACTATGCCACAGCAGGTACTCATATCCAGTTGCTGCGACACTGGATTTATGTTTTCTTGTTGTTCATGTAAAAGTTAATCTGCTCTTGTATAATCATGCACAACCTGTTCTGTCACTATATCAAATTCAAGTCATAAACAGGTGTCAAAAGAGTTTATCCTGCAAAAGGGAGCAACTACTTAAAATTTAACCTATCCCGCAGGTAGTTAATCACATGAGATGTATTATGTTTACGGACTGGACAGCTGTCGCGCATTCGTTAATCGGTTCTAAATTACTTAAAAAACATGCATTTATGCCAAGAACTTATTTATGATGTCGAGCTTCGAACCAGTTCCTCGTTCGCCTTGAAATGCCTCTGTAAAAAACCTTATTCTTATCTTAACATCTTATCTTTACCATTTAATCTGACCCCTTTTCCACCCATCTGTCGTTACTTAAGTAAGGCTAAATTTTAAGAATGGCATCAACATTTTGCTTGATCTACAATAGAGGATCAGCTTCTGCTTGAAAAATGGGCAGTCTGCCAAATGGATTGTTAAAACTGTCAAAAAATTTACATGGGGATGACAAGAAGACCGTTATAAACAGTATAAAAGAACATAAAGCTGCTTTTGAGCATGGAAATAAAGAAAATAGTCAATAGTCGGCAACTGTTAAGCATTCTATTGATAAACGGCATTGTGTTATGACCTAAAACGTGAAAGTCTAGGATCAAGGCAACACCACTGCTGGTCATATGATCAGGGATCAGCCCCAATTAAAGCATTTAGTGCAGTCAGTGCTAACGATGATTTAAGGTTGAAAGATCTATCCTACAATTTGACCCTCATCGTAAGTAATATAATTTCTACTATTTAATTTCTATTATTTTTGATGTTCCAATTTCCTTGTGCGTTTTTCTCCCCCCACCTTATTTTACCCTCGCTTTTCTTATTTGTCTCTCTTATAGTGTTTTAAGTGTAAACTTGCTTATGTCTATGACCATGATATCTTCACTGTATATTATATTTTGTGCTGAAGAAGGAACACCATTCTGGGTTCTGAAAGCTTCACTTATTAAAGTATTTTATCTTATGCTTCAAATCGTGTCTTACCTTAATCTGTTAACCTAACAACATGCATGTCTTTTCAAACCATGCTAACTTGTACCAAATACTACAGGTACTTTAAAAAATAAAATAACGAGGAGGTTAAATTAGACTCTAGTGGCATAGCGCCTTATGCCTTAAAGACACTCGCTTGTAACGCACTTGATTCGAGCGCATCTTCGTGACGCTGAACAGCTCCTTGGCAGTTTCGGCAGCCAGTTGGTCGAGCTGCTGGCGCAAGAATTTTGTGGCTTTGCGTGGCAGGAGGTTCATCTTGAAACGTTGGCGCACATCAGACATCGATACGGTGTTCGTGTCCAGGTCGACGCAAGTGACGTCGCGCGGGGGGTCCTCATAGAGATCGAAGTAGCGACTGTCGACGCCAGCGATGAACGGCATCGGTGCGTGCAGTACCCCGGCGACGTCCAGAGGGCACTGAGGGATGTACGGGCACTGCCAACGGAACGGAAATATCAGATTACAGATGGCCTCGGCGACGCTGGTCAGATGCCACGGCCTTAGCGAATGGATGAGTATCTTCTGCTCGGTCAAAGCTAACAGTATCATGTAGATGCAGTTGTCGGTGCCAAGCAAAGTCAAGAAATCGACGTAGCTGGCACCGGTCAGTGGTAGCGGAGAGTCCTCAGGATTGTCGAAACAGATGCGTTCGTTACCCAGCTGGACCAGTACCCGAGGCCGCTTGGACGTCGGGAACGGCACCTCGAGCATCAAGTACGTGATGTACGCTTCGACCGGCAAACTACTGATACCACAGGCACACATCCGATGCAGGTAGAACAAGTAGCGACGGAACGCCGAAAAGAACGGGTACCGGCTAACGACACAAATCGACTTGTTCGTGTGGAATGTCATCTCATCCGCGGGGTCATTCGTCGAACTAGTATCTGAACAGCTTCCTGGACGATAGTGGGCATCCGGATTCAATCCTGAAATGCAACTATCATATGAAATGGTAATTTTAACAAAATTGGTTCAAGCATTAAAAAAGAAGGATAACACGGTGTCTGAACTGCATCTCGTGCGAAAGAATTATGAAAGATATCATAATAATTAGAAACATTGCATCACGCCATACATAGCCAGTTTACAATTGAAAACGTGAACCATTCGAGTTAATGAGTTAAGAAAAATTTTATGAGTAAATATCACAAAGTGAATATCCACAACAAGAAAAACATTAAACATCATAAAAGCGGTTTACAAGCCATTCTTATGATTAATATGCTTTTGGGCGGAGTATAAAATAAATGGTTTTATGTCACATTTCCACATATTGTAGCTATAATTATTTTTAAGTTATGTATGTGGAATCAAGATTCAAGCAATAAAAATTCATATGCGGAAGAATTTCATAAAATTGGTTCTTATGACTTTTTCTGATGAAATGCTGTATTTGTTCGCCTTTTGCTTTCATTTCCGACTCAAACTCATCAACATGTACCGATATGCTATAACAGGTTCATAGGAATACGTCGGTAACGAATTTAATGCCCGGAATGGCTTGAACCATTGGTAGTATAATGCAGAGTAAATTTACCTAAAAAATTAACTTCCGTCGTTGCCGGTCGGAAGTGCCGATGAAAAATTAGCCTTTCTGGGGACATAGGCAAAATCTACAGATTTTCATCTCATTCCTATCGTCATTTAAGTCATGGCCGTGACTGAAAAACTACGACCCCGACCCCGATACAAGGGGTTGAAATCGGCTGGACTTGTGCATTTCAACAGAGTCTGGAGTTCAGACATGCAACTACCAACGCTGCTTCGCTAGACTGCGAAGTTGAATATACGATGGTTTGGACACGCCTTACGAATGCTTATAGAAAAGAAGGCTAAACAGGTATTATTTGCCAAAGCAAATCAGCGAAGTCCATAGGGATAGCTAAGAACGAACTTTTGCAAGCACCCAGATGGACTGTGCTCCAGACGCAAGTTATTTTCGACCGAAGTTGTCGAAAGCATTGCCTGACGCTTATGCATCTGCAAGAGCCGTAAGCGGTTTCCGAAACTAACTGATAAACGATCGATAAAGAATTATGAAGATGACTCAATGCTCTTGTGCAACAAACAACTTGTCAGTGTCACAAAAATCAAGTGTAGCAATTGAAAACCGACATACACAATTTAAACTAGTTCATCTTTAAGTCGTAAAGAATCTGAAAGCCTAAAACAAAACAAAAAACAGAATCAAAATATGCACCTAGTTTTTCCATCTGCTGCTTGGTCAACGGGTGCATATAATCTTCGTAGAATGACACTGAGGCACCATACAACTTGTGGCCATTTTGGTCAGTGAGCACAAACGTCGTAAACTGTTTGTCAGGAGTCTGGCATTTAGCTGGCCAGCATTCGATAACGGCGCCCATCGGCAGACAGAATAGCGGCGTGCTTGGTGGAAGCGGGTAGCCGGCGAAGTCATCTGGGAAACGGTCGAGGATTGCCGGCCGGTAGGCTATCTGATTGACGCTAGACAAAGACTTCTTGTAGCACAGAAAAACGTCGTTGCCCACCAGGCCCTTATTCAGGTTCTTGTTTAGCTTATAGTAAGTATGGGGCGGAGTCTCACCCTTGCTTGGCAGAATGACGCACATGTCAATCACCGAGAACAGATTGCTAGCGGCGTTCTCCCTGGCACGTCGGTAGGTCAAGAAGATGTTCTCCTTGGCATTGTTCAGGTTAGCGATCCTACCATACGGTGTCTTGCGAATTACTTCGATGTCTGGCATCGGGTTCTCGCCTTTGAACTCGTAAAGGATGCCGATGTCGACGATCGGCGGCTTGTGAAAGCCACGACGGAAGCAGAGGAAGCAAGACGGCGTCCGGATAGATCCATAATTAAAATCGGCCGGAAATCCGCTTGGAGTCGTTTCTATACAAGTAAAACCTTCCGGGACCTAAGCACATAAACACATTATTTGTATTTTATAACAAATTTTACCGGAACAATATTCAGTAAGCAACTATTCACTTTACAATGAACAAATCAGCTGCATATAATACAAACTGCCTTAGTGTCCAGCCGTATGTGTCAAAATAGCACTATAAGACAATCTCTAAAAACATAAACAAACTACCGACGGATAACCGCACCATCAACCTTAATTTCGCTAATGACTTTATGGTGCAATATGGGCATCGGATAAGAGCAATTTTCTATTGATTGGCTATCAGACTTAAATCGCAGATTACGTACATCGATATTATGTTTCACTTGCACGTAGGGGCCATGCATACAGGTGTACACGTACGCCAATTGTGTTATCTTGTAGATATCTGAGATCACCTTCTTGAGCCGCTCATACAAACAGTACTTCTCCAGTTTGCGACATCCACTGTACTTGCAGCCTTTAGACATGCTAACTAAAAGGCAACGGTCACAGCACTGTAAAAAGAACGTCCTGTCTGAAAGCAGACTGGCGTCTGTCTCGTTCCTCCAGGTTGCATCTTGCTGACTAGCTAGTTAACACCGAATATGCTCCCAATTCAACGCTACTGTAAACCATTAACTTGTCGTCATTGGTCCTGCGTTAGAGCAATTACTTCAAAAACTTACAACACTAAAATGATCGATGAATGGTAGAGGCAAATGTCTGTGGAAAGAGTTGCTTTTCGGCCCAAATATGGGACAGGCAAATAAGAACATTTGGGCAAGAACGATTTTCCTGTTTTACTACGACTGCATGGTACCACTGCTGGAACTGATCTAGCCGAGATATTTAAACTGCTGCCACTGCTGCTGTTGGACTATTCTATGCCGCTGTTCCAGTTGCAGATCAGCTGTGCCTGGTGGATTCCTCATAATTTTCGACTTCAGGATATTAAAGAAGATGCCGGCTTTTGCACGTGTGTTTCATATGGAAGGCGTAGGGTGACGAATGCCCACTTCCTGTACTACGGAGATTATCATCAAACTTCAAACTGTTTTTACAAGGGCCAGCACCAGATATTATTTAGACTGGCGCAGTAACTTTCATAACATGCGAACAGAAGCCTACTAAATAGACGATTGTGGCAAAGAATGTAGCAAAATAAGTAGTTGACCGGAACCTAATACACCATTTAAAACCAGACTGTCCTGTCTAAGGTTTGTTAGCCTTATATGACGATGACAACAAATATACAATCCAATTAGGTTCCTGTTTTACACTATCAGCTGGTTGTAGCCCCGCTGTTATGCGTAACATTCTATTCCGAGCACAGGTGTCTTCAGTGAATGACAAATCAAAAAAATGAGCTTGACTGTAAAGAATCTATTTCAACCCGCGAGCTTTACACGTGGGAGTCAAGAGCACGACAGCTCGATCAAGAGACAAGCAATGAGATCAAGGAACAATGTAGAGGCAGATTTTTTTGGAAAGGAACCGTTCCTTCGAGGATGCAGTAACCGTTACTTTATAGCAAAAGGGTTCAAATGCTGAAAACCCATGATAACGGAGACGTCACAAGCAACTTACGTTCAGCTTATGCACACAGCTCAATGTGATGATGTCAGCAAAGTCAGTAATAAATCTTTGCACCACATAACGATAGTAATTCCGTAC